CACTCTGTCCCTCAGCCCCTCCCTCCACCTTCCCATTCTCTCCTTTTTCACATCCTGAAATCCTGTCAGTTCTTCAGGACTCGGGTCAAATGCTTCTCTTCTGACCCCTAGGACCCTGCCCCAGGCAGAAGACTGCCCCTACCTCGGCTTTCCCTCACTGAGGTGACCAGCTGACACAGAAGGGAAGGTCTGTTTGGGCTCATGGTTTTACAGGTGTCAATCCATGGTTGCTTGACCCCCATGCTTTGGGATTTTTTATGCCGCAGAGCGTCTGGTCTGGGAGTGTGTGGTGAGGGCAGTTTGCACAGCTTAGGGTGCCTGGGAAGGAGAAGAAGGAAGTGGAGGGGAGGAGAGGGAGGGAGAAAAGGAGACATTCCCTTCCAAGAACACTCTCTCAGTGGCCCACCTCTTCCACTCCTAAAGTTCCCACTACATCTCAGGAGCAGCATGAACTGGAGACCAAGCCTTCAACACACGAGTCATAGGGTCACTTAAGAACAAGCCCCCCCACTTCTCTACCTCAATTTCTTCTGAGCCCCACAGAGCAATCGGTGCCTCTGCTGGATTCCAATGACTCGGGAACATTCCTGTCTCTCAGCCCTTGACTGGTCTAAATTCAGACCTGGGTTAGAGGGGACAATCTCTGAGGCTTAAGTTTCTGAGCAACAATCCATTCCCAGGAGAGACGAGAAGACGGGGTAACAGACGAGGGTGGACCAGAGCCCGGAAAGAAAAGAGCAATTGTTCCCAGAGAGAGAGTCTATGCAGAGTGTGGGGACGAGGCCGGATGTCATCAGTCCAAATGGAATGATTCAGAGGAAACCCGAGGAGAAAGAAATGACCAAAGAGGCCCAAGCCAACCTGCTTTGAAAGGAAAGGAAAAGTTAGAGCCAGGAATGACCTGAAACAGTCACTTTATGCCCCACAAATGCACCTCTGAGATGACTAAGGCCTTCTGAGAACACCCTGTGAAATGCCACAAATCCAGTGACAGATGAGGTCATCTCAAGTCGGTGACTGGAGGAAGCTTTCTCACATGGTAGAGCTCTGCCACTGCCGGAAACACCCATCCACCAAAGCCTTCTAGAATTTTCTGTACAACTAATGGAGACAAGAGCGCCTCCATGAGACGTGCCTCAGAGAGCCACTGTGGGTCCCAGTGGCCAGGGAGTCAGGTGTCATGGATGAGTCACCCTTGAGTGAGCTATCTGTTCTCACATCTTAATCTCCGTGGGCACACAGTTCCCACGCCTGCTTTCCTGAGCCCCACAGTTTCTGTGAGGGACACAGCAGCTAAAGCTGACCATTGCCAGTTGTTATGGCAGAGAAGAAGCCTGTAAAAGTTCCAACCTCACCTGAGGAGACGGCTCAGTTGCTAAGGGTCCCTGATGTCAAGCCTGGTGACCCGAGTTCAATCCCAGGGTCCCACGTGGTGGGAGAAAAGAACTGACGCCGTGGATTGCCCTCTGACCTCCACACGCGTGTGCTGTGGCACACACGCCACTGCCCTCCCCACAAAAAAAATAAAATACTCAAATGTAGTAGAGTTGTTATTACAAACAACAAAAGCTCTGGGCTCTCCGAGGTGTGCACCCCAGCTTGGGGCATCATTCACCTCCCCATCTCAGTGGCTCCACCCTCCCGAGGGTCCTCGTCTTGGTCCACTGCTACCTAACCTCACTCACTCATGTGAAAAAAGGATCGTGGGCGCAGCACACTCCAGATGCTGTTCTGCGTACCCAGGAAGTTGTGCAAACAGAAAGACATTGGTGTGGTTTGTCATCTAGTGTCACACAATCTGCCTGTCAGCATGGTGGCCTAGAGATTTGGTGACCCTGATCCGGGGTCAGGTTGAGGATCTACTACCACCGGAGCCCAAATGTGACAGTTAGTATGGATTACATCACAGGTCTATCAGGGGGCTTCTAGACTGGGCTACAGGACCAGTAACTTCCTTTGAGTCAACCATAGAGCCTCCCGCCTCTCCTCGCTGGAACAGAAGAGTAGAAACATCTGGAGGTCTCCAGGGAGGGGATAAGGGCAGTCAGGGGAGGGTGGCAGGAGAAAATGAGATTTCTGTGGGAACTGAAGTTGCAGGAGAAAAGCTGGACTCCCAGAATGCAGCGGGTGGGATGGGGACAGACCTGAGATGGCCCCTTTTGGCTTGTGACCCTTCCCCCTGCATTCTGTCTCTGCCTGGGTCTTTGGGACAGATAGGAGCTCAATTCGCTCAGAAGGCAGGGAAGCAGATAGCAAGCAGGTGTTGTTCTTTCAGTTGTGACAGCTGCCAGTCACGGTGCCTAAGAGCGGACACTTCCCCTGTTACATTCATCTACAGGTACTCCTTGCTTTACAAACAGGTTATGACCTAATACGTTTGTCATAAATCGAAAATGTCCAACTCAGAAGCTAGCTCCGTAACGTGCTGAGCAAGTGCAGGGTCATGATCTTGGAATCTCAGTCCGTAAGCACGGTGACATTTGAGTGTGATACCAACACCGGAGAAATGTAGACCGATGGGCCCCCCGGGCCTCATTGGCTAGTTACTGCTGAACTCCAGGACATTGAGAGACCTTGTGTCTTAGTCAGGGTTTCTATTGCTGTGAAGCTACATCATGACCACCGCAACTCTTGTAAAGAAAAACATTTAATTGGGGTGGCTCACTTACAGCCCAGAGGTTCGGTCCATTATCATCATGGTGGGACACGGCAGCATGTAGGCAGACATGCTGCTGGAGAAGTGGCTGAGAGTCCTACATCTTGCAGGCAACGGGAAGTGGTCTGAGTATCTGGGCAGTATCTTGAGCAAAGCCCTCCTCCATAGTGATACATGTCCTCCAACAAGAACATACCCACTCCAACAAAGCTACACCTCCTAATAATACCACTCCCTATGAGTTTATTGGGGTCACAATTACATTCAAACTACCTGTCTCAGAGAGAGAGAGAGAGAGAGAGAGAGAGAGAGAGAGAGAACAGACCATACACGCGGGGGGTGGGGGTGGATATTGTGAACTGAAAACGCTTTTGTATGCACTAAACCTGCTGAGCACTAGGCAGGCAGTACAGCCCTGGTGTACAGAACAAGCTACTTCCGTCCGGGAGAGTCTGACAGGCAGCTGTAGCCCAGGGCTGCCGCCAAGCAGGAGGAAGGGGTTCACATTCCATGCAATGTCTCTAGTCCAGGAAGAATCAAAATGCGAATGTAACTCCTACTGCACAGATAACTCTGTCAGGCCATCATAAACGGTCAGTCAGGCCACAGATCCTGCTCGGCTGTCTAGTGGGTGTGGCCGCGGGCCCCTTCCGTGTCTCCAAGTTTCATTTCTCTGTCAGAAGGGCAGTGATTTCACAGGAAGTAGGAGTCTCATTGGCATTTCCAGTGTCTCACTGTAGCAGCCACTCCCCTGAGTGTTTCTGTGTGTCCCCGGCATCCACCCCCAAGCCACCCAGAACTCAGTCAAACGGTTTGAGTTTGGTTACAGGCACCAAAGTCTTGGGTATCCTCTTCACAGGCAGTGTTTTCAACACCCGGAAGTGCTGGCTAGTCTCAGTTCAACTAGACACACAAACTAGGGCCATGACAAAGGAAAGAGCCTCAGTTGCGAACATGCCTCCGTAAGATCCAGCTATAAGGGCATTTTCTTCACTAGTGATCAATGTGGGGAGGGCCCAGCCCATTGTGGGTGGAGCCATCCCTGGGCTGGTGGTCCTGGGTTCTGTAAGAAAGCAGGCTGAGCACGCCATGAGGAGCAAGACAGTAAGCAGTGCTCCCCCATGGCCTCTGCATCAGCTCCTGCCTCCAGGTTTCTGTCCTGTCTGACTTCCTGCCCTGTCTTCCTTTGCTGATGAACAGTGATGTGGAAGTGTAAGCTGAACAAACCCTCCCCTCCTCAACTTCCTTTTTAGTTATGGTGTGTTGTTACAGCAAAAGAAACCCTAATTAAGACCCTGCCCATTGCTTAAGAGGGCCCTTACTCCACCCAGGAAGCACTAGTGTAAAGCCCTATGCAATTAGAATGGTTTTCGTTGCTTCCCAAGCGAATTTGGACTGCATGGAATCAGGTTGGAAGATTGACCAGGCTTGGGCGCTTTCTATTTATTCCAAGGACTCTGAAAATCTGTTCACTGGGAGCTTAGACTCTCTCGTGGGAATGGGCTAGCAGCCACACACGATGCAGAAGGTTGACCCTGGGCAGTCCCCCCTCACAGTGTCCTGGTTTTCACTGAGTCCAGTAGTATGAACAGGTCTTTATGGGTGGTGTTTGCTTACCTGTGCACACAGAGGCCAGTCATCCCAAGACATTGCTGGTCCTGTGCTCACTGAACAAGCCTGTCAGGTTTGGCTATTGGCGCTATACAGGCTAGTGTGTCTAGGGCTCCAGGCAATGCATGGAGAGACAGACTAAGTGTCTCTCGTGACAGGGATAAAGGGGTGAGGATGGGAGGACTGTGAGGTTGGAAACAGCCCATCCCTAGCACAAAGAAAGAATCCTGGTTCTGTCTGGTTAACTCCACAATAAACACCATCCTCAATTACTCCAGAGGGGGTGTGTCTGAGTGAGACTGGGCACTGACTCCCAAGGCTCTCCAACCTCCCAACCCACGTGTCACCACACCCCCTCGACGGAGAGAAGCAAAACGAACCCTCTGAGCTCCATCATTATTTTATAAAAGTTTGTGGGGTCTCTGAGCCTCAGTTTCTCCATTTGTGAAATGAGGTGTTTTCGGACTGCCTGGAATACATAGTCATACCTGATCCTCACCCTGTGTACATGCGCGCGCGCACACACACACACACACACACACACACACACACACACACAGAGAGAGAGAGAGAGAGAGAGAGAGAGAGAGAGAGAGAGAACACGGGGTGCTCAGAGCGCGGCTACGCCCCCGCAAAGGCCACACCCCTCACCTGCTGATCCAGCCCGCCGCGTTGCCATGGCGACGCGCGTACACAGGCCGAGCAGGCGCGCGGGGTGCCGGCCAGGCTGGAGACTCGGCAGAGCGCGGCAGGCCGCCTCGCCCTGGAGCTGTCAAGCGGCTCCCAGCCCGCGGGGCTCTCGGAGGAGGACAGAACGCTAGCTTCCTCCTCCTGCCAGGTGAGTGCGGTTCCAGGAAGGACTGGCAAAGAGCAGCAGCGGTGATGGGAGGAGGCGTGTCCCCGCCCCAAGCTCTCCAATCCAGGCTCCAGTTTCAGGACAGCTGTCCAAGCACCAACCTTTCCTCTCAAAGTGCAGTCACACCCTGTCCCCAGAGGCATCGTGACGGGACCTTAGGCCCCTAGGATGTCCGCCTTGGAGGTCGTCCACCAGCCGGCAGAGAGATCCTCTTGCCTGGCCTCACTTGCCCCGCTGTAACGCAGAGGAAAGTACACAGCTGGCGCCCAGGCTAGGTAGCCCTCCCAGAATGCTCACTCCGTAGCCCATTTCTAACCCATCTCCGACCCACGTGTGATGGAAGCCTTTTGGCTCTTGATGGGGCACTAAGAGAAAGTCAATTCATAATTAAGCACATTCAAATGATTACAGTATTTTCAGGCAGGCAAGGGACCGCACAGGGTCAGACGGAGGTGTAGAAAAGCCGCCTGGCAAGGCAGTGGAAGACATAGTCTGAGCTTCCACATTCCGTCTAGGATTGACACTGAATGGGGGGGCTGAAAGGCAGGTGGTACCCTCCACAGCTAGAGGTTGACCTTCCTTGGAGGTATCGTTTTGTCCTCTCACTGGGTAAGTGTTTACTGAACACCTCTATCTGCCTGGCATGGCAGCTCTGGGCACTGGAGATGGAGTAGCGACCAACACTGTCAGGATGGCAAAGGGTCCCAAGATTTCACTCCATCAGCAAACTAAGAAGTGAGGGAAGGCAGAAGACAGGAGACCCCTAGACCAGAGATCCCACCCCCGCCCCTTGCCGAGGTGGTCCTGCCTCCACTCCAGGTCCCGCCCTTCAGCAGTGGGTGTGGTGGTGCACATCTGTGAACACAGTTCCCAGAAGGTGAAGGCATAGAACCAGGGGTTCAAGGTCAGCCTTGATTAGGCTCAGAACAGGGTGGTGATGGAGAACAGAGACCCGAGTGTCCCCACCATCACAGCTAGAGGCTTTTTTTGTTTCAACCCCCCAGTTTCATAACACTACTTTCCAGAAGTCTCCCATTGGTAAAGAAAATGAGGACAGTTGCTTAGAACTGGCGTTGTGATGTGTCCTGGGCTCCTGGATGGAGTGTGGTTAGAATTCAAACCGAAAGATGCGTCCGCAGTGTTTTTAAACTGTGCGGAACTTACTTGGAGTGCATTGTGAGACAGATATGAGACAGAGATACGAGTGTAGGTGAGAAAGAAAACACAGCCACTTGGGCATGGCGGTACACACCTGGAATCCTAGCTCCTGGGAGGGAGAGGTGGGAAAATAAGTTCAAAGTCATTGTCAGCTACACAGTGAGTTTTCAGATCAGCCTGGACTACCTGGAGAACCTGTCTCAAAACCCAAAACCTAACAATGATAATAACAATAACAGGAAACTATTGGCTACAGAATCTGGGTGGCGAGCTCATATTAATTCAATTTCTACTCCTCTCTTTTCTTTCTGGGGTTTTGCCTGTAAGTATGTCCATGCACTGTGTCCACTCGGTGCCCACAAAGGTCTGAAGATGACATCAGGTCCCCTGGAACTGAGATTGTGGACGGTCCCGTGTCCTTTACAAACCCAAGAAGCCAGTGCTTTCAGTCTCTGACCCATCTTTCTGCCTCCATTTGATTTTCTTCCTATGACCCTAGTCCACCCTCAAGCTCGCAATCCTCCTGCCTGCGCTTCCGCAGTGCTGGGTTCCAGGCGTGCATCACCACACCCAGTTCACTGTCTTTAAAGCTCTCTGTATAGCTGACATTTCCATAATACAATGTTTGGGGAAATCTGTGCAGAGTTCTGGTCACATAGAATCCTGCATCTTCCTACATCATCCCTAGAAATCAGTCCTTGGGCCGGTGAGGTGCCTCAGCCAGTAAAAGTACTTGGTGAGCAAGCCTGAGGGTCTGAGTTTGATTCCCATCACCCGCCCACAGAAGAAGGAGGGAACTGACTCCTGCAAGTTGTCCTATGATTTCTGTATATTTAATGAGGTTTATGAACACCTGCACAAATATGCACAGAGAGAGAGAGAGAGAGAGAGAGAGAGAGAGAGAGAGAGAGAGAGTTTTAAAATTAAAAAAGAAATCGCTCTTTCCTAATTCAATCTATGGAGAAATTCTGTGACTTATGAAGAAAGTATCAGTTGGTGCCTGCATTTTCAGGGCCCAGCTCTTGGTGCTTTAAACTCAGTGGGAGCATGTGGGTCTCTGAACTGGAGTTTGAGAAGCCCAGGTTAGCATCAATAATAGCAGAGTTTGTTGTGTACCAGGCAGCCTAGGAGAGAATAACTCACCCACAGTGTCTGCACTAGTAAGTGCTGGGCTGTAACTAATCCGCATGAGCATTGGGGTCATGGATAACTAGGTGGGCAGCCATCATCCAGGCATTCAGGGTGTGCTTGGGTTATGTAGAGCTTTGGTTTTGCTTCCCCCGGTTAAGAAATACCTTCAGGGGGCTGGAGAGAGGACTCAGTGGTTAAAAATTCTTTCTGCTCTTGCAGAGAACCCAGGTCCAGTTCCAGCACCCACATGGCAGATCACAATCACTTGGTTCTTGGTTTTGGGGGAGGGGTTATATTTGTTTATTTATTTTTCGTGAGGGCTCTATCTGCATGTATGTCTTTGTGCCAGAAGAGGGCATCAGATCCCATTATAGATGATTGTGAGCCCCATGTGGGTGCTGGGAATTGAACTCAAGACCTCTGAAAGAGCAACCAGAACTCTTAACTTCTGAGCCATCTCTCCAGCACAACCCCCCCTTCACAACCACGTGTAATTCTAATTCCAGGGGATCTGGTACCCTCTTCTGACCTCTGTATGTTTCTGCATGCACTTGGTGAGCACACATACACTCAAGCACACACACACACATTGACATAATATAATTAAATATGTTAAAAAATAAATACCTTGAGTCTGATTATTAGATTTCAACTCTTCTCTGTTGGTGATCACTATTAGGTGAGATGACCTTCAGAAGGTATGATCTTGTCACACTACCTGGCCACTCCTTGTCTCTACAGACCCCTCTCCCTCAGGACCCTATGGAGACCACATCCAGTCCAGTCTGACTTAGAATGTGTCTCTCTCACCAAAGTTTTTCTGAACCATTCTGCAGGGAAATCAGAGAGAATGAAAGCCTATTTGAAGAGCGCAGATGGCTTTTTTGTCCTAAACAAAAGCACCACAATCGGCAAACATGCGGATTCGGACCTCGTCCTACAGGTAAGAACACAGCCCACCCGTGCCCCATGCTACCCCAGTGCTCCTTAGTGTGGGGTGGATGCAGGGCTCTCAGAGTCCAATGGCTACCTCCGGCAAGCAGCCACCTCGGGTCTCAGTTCTTGTGCTGCCAAGGATCCACTATCATGTGTAGGAATCTTCTGGGTGGAGAAGGGGAGCTGAGTATCACCTGGAGGTGATGGGCCGTCTACCTGTTGCTGAACACAACTTCCCACATCCCAAGTTGTACCCTGCCCAGAAGCAGCCTTCTGGGTGAATTTGGAAGGTGTGCACAGAGCAGGTGCATTGAACTACCCTCCCCTCCCTGTGTCAGAGGAGGCCTCTCTCTTTCCAAACCTTTCCCTTTCCATAGCCTGCCTGTGAGGGGACCCTGGAAGCTCTGAGGGGAAGCCCTGGGCTTAGCCACAGCCTCCTCTGATCTCACTCTGGTCTCTGATGAGCTGTGGTTTGGTCCAGAGCCTCCATTCACTGACAGCTAGGGAAGCGGAAGAAATGACTGATAAAAAACCGGAGGCTCAGAGTCTCTTTGAATGTTTAAGCAGCTTAAAATATGTATGGAAGGGCAGAGAGGCAGGAGGCGGAGCCTCCTCCAGTGGGAGAGCAGGTGCACTGCCCCCAACCTTGCCCCACACGTCTTTAATAACCTTTCTTTTGAAACAGGTAAAGATTCACAGAAGGTTGCAAACTCAGTAGAGGGAGCTTGAGCGTGCACCTCTGTCTGTTTCCTCAGTGATTACACTCGTGTGACTTATATCAGCATCAAAACAGGCCAGGACATGAACCACGGTTCTGGACATATGTGTGGGGGAGGGTGGCCTGTGAAGAGCAGGTGGTCATGGTTTTATCACGGGTGCGGATTCAGTAGCCTAGAAGCAAAATAACCGTGCCATCATAGGCCTGGATCCCACTTCAGAGTTACAGCAGCCCCTCCCACCACCCCTGAACCCTGAAACCAGGACTCTCTTCTTCGTATTGATAAGTCTGTTGTTTGGAGAAAGTTGTATCAGTAACAGCCTATGGTGTGTGACCTCTTGAGCCAGGGTTTGGTTTGGTTTGGTTTCCCTTTTACTCGGGCCTGGGGATGTATTTAGATTGCTATCTTGTTCCCTTTTTATTGCTGGGTAGTATTCGGTGGAGTGGACACACTGCAGTTCTTTATCCATCTGTGTACAAGACACTGTGATTATCTCTAGTTCAGGACCATTACAGAGAGCCTCTCGTTTCAGGTCTAGTGCTGTGATTAAACTCCATGAGCAAAAGCAACTTGAGGAGAGGGATTATTTGGCTTACGTGTTCTGATCGCCTCTCAGCATTGAGGGACCTCAACTCAGGATCTCAAGGCAGGGACTGAAGCAGAGGTCACAGAGAACAGCACTTACTGACTTGCCTTCTTAAACACCCCAGGACCACCTGCCCAGGTGATGTGGCTGACCCCTCCCACACCAACCGTGAATCAAGAGAATCCCACAGTCTTGTCCAAAGGTCGATCTGGTGGAGGCATTTTCTTAATTGAGGCTTCTCTTCAAAGATGATTCTAGATGCACCAAATTTACAAGACATCCAACCAGCACAGTGCTGTATGCAGCTTTTGAGAGGGCATAAATGCCTGGGAATGTGATGGCAGGGTCACCTGACAATGTCTGTTTGGTACCTAGACACACCATGGCACTGTCCAAAGCGGCTGTGCGGTTTCCATCTCCACCCACAGTGTGGATGGTTCCGCGATCCCCTCCAGCAGTGAGTGCTGTCCATGGTTGTTGTATTTTATGTGTTGAGTAAGAGTGATGAGGGCCCCATAAATCTCCGTATCTGCCTCATTTCTGATTCTGGAGAGACAACATTCAGCACCCCGCCATTACACAGCAGGTTAGCTAGAGTGTTTCTGGAGAGTCTGCTAGTCTTAGAACAAATTTGACCAATTTAAAAATAGCTCTGCATCCCCCTGTGGTACTTAATCTTTTCATTGCTGGGACTAAATACCTGACGGAAACTACAGAGAACCTTGCCTGAGCGCACAGTATCCAAGGGTTCACACCATTGCTCCTGGGCCCATTGTGTGTGGTCAGGACATCATGGTGGCAGGGATGTTGGCAGAGGAACTTCAGACCTCATGACAGACTGGAAACAAAGAGTGGGAATACATACAATACCAGGGCAGCTACAGGCCTCAGGACACGCCCCAGTGCCCAGAGCCCACTTCCCACCACCTCCCGATCATTCTGTCTTATCACAAAGCCAGACACTGAATCAGTCCTCAGCACCTCCATGGAAACCACCATCCCAGACACTCCAGAGATGTGTGTCACTAATGCCCAGGGCTTGCTTTCTCAATCAGATTGATCATCAATTAACCCCCTGTGGTAGTGTGAATAGGTATAGCCTCCATAGACTCATGTGTTTGAATGTTTGGCCCGTAGGGAATACCACTGTTAGGAGGTGCAATGCTGTGGGGGAAGGCTTTGAGATCTTGCATATATGTTCAAGCTATGCCCAGTATAGTACACAGTTCCCTTCCTGTTGCTTGCGATCAAGATGTAGAACTCTTAGCCATCACCCTAGCATTATGCCTACCTGCATGCTGTCATGCTTCCCACCATGATAATGAACTAAGCCTCTGACCCACCAATTGAGTGTGGGTCAGCCCCAATTGAATGTGTTCCCTTTACAATAGTTGCCATGGGCCAGGTAGTGGTGGCACATACCTTTAATCCCAGCACTCGGGAGGCAGAGGCTGGCAGATCTCTGTGTGTTCAAGGCCAGCCTGGTCTACAGAGCAAGTTCCAGGACAGCCAGGGTTATTACACAGAGAAACCTTATCTTGAAAAACCAGAGAGAGAGAGAGAGAGAGAGAGAGAGAGAGAGAGAGAGAGAGAAGAGAAGAGAAGAGAAGAGAAGAGAAGAGAAGAGAAGAGAAGAGAAGAGAAGAGAGAACCATGAGAAGTGGTATGTGGAGGCCAGAGGATAACTTTGTGGAGTTGGTTCTCTCCTTTCACCTTTATGAGGGAGGGTAGCAGAAATTGGACTCATCTGCCCAGGCTAACATGGGAAACACTTTTCTTTTTAACTTTCTTTTTAATTTATTCTTTGTGTCTTTCACACCATGCGTCCTAATCTCACCCATCTCCTGTCCCCTCACAACTGCCCTCTGCCCCTGCAACCTCCCCCCACCAAAATAAAACAAAATAAAATTTAAGACAAAAAAGAAAAGGTAGAAAGGGAAAATCTTGTCACGGAAGCTGCGGTGTGACACAGTGGGTCACGTGGACCCCTTTATCCGTACATCTTTATATACAGGCCTTCATCGCAAAGAATCATTGGTTTGGTTCGAGGCCCCTGGCCTCTGCTACACTGATGCTGGACCCTCACTGGGACTGTTCCTGGGCGTACCCTTGCTGCCCTGCATCATAGAAATCCTGCAGCCCTGACTCCGCAGGCCTGCTCTTTTCTCCACCTGTGCACCCGCAGACCACAGATGGGTAGATATTGGGGTGGGTTAACACATAACCCTGGTTCTGGGTCCAGGTAGTTGCAGGATTGGTCAGCCGACCAGCTCTCCCCTGTCTTCACCACCAGGGTGCGCTCTCCAGCAATGCCCTGGCCAGTTCACCCTTGCAGCAATGAGCAAGGGGTGTGGCCGCTTCTTCTGCTTTTGCATCCTTGGGTTGGTTCTCCCACAGGGACGCCCTCAAGGCCAGCTCTACTGTGCTGTCCAGTTGAGGTTCAGGGGCCACTCTCCGGAGTGCTGCAGCCGATGAGGGTCAGGGACAGCTCGCCTGCTCTGACAACCTCAGGGTCAGCTGTCCCAATGGCAAGCACTTTTACCTGCTGGGCCATTTCACTGCCCCAGGGATCTCTCTTGGGCCTGACTATCAGAACAAAAAATCATAAAGGTTTGGCAAGGCACAGGCTTTGAGGAAAGCAGATTTGGACCTGAACTCCTTTCAGCCATTTCCTGGCTGTGCGGCTTTAAGCTCACGTTCCCATCTGTAAACTATGTCCCTCTCTGGGTTCTTGTGTTGCGTGAATTGAGAAAAGGCATCCAAATGCCCGGCCCACGATACTAAGTAAGTAACACCATAGTCTTTTTTATGGTCTCATAAAATGAAGCTGAGAGAGATTTTCAGGAGCCCAGGGAGGCAAGGGGGCACCGATGGAGACTGAGGCTGTTTGGGAAAGGGAATCAATGAGAATCATTATTATACCGGCAGAAATTGAGTGGCATTTGATATAAAAATAATCGGCCACCTACTGTCCTTGGCCTCGTGCAAATGGAAGCCGCCAGGGTGGAGTGATGGCCCAGCAGTTAAGAGAGCCTGCTGCTAAGAGAGAGCCCAGCCCACATGAGGCTCGCAACTGCCTGTAACTCCAATTCCAGGGATCCAGCATTCAGTAAGTGTACACACACACACACACACACACACACACACACACACACAGAGGCACGCGCTCACACACGCACGTGCACACACACACTCATGCACACGTGTAAAAATACAAATTTAAAAATTCACTCCACTGAATAAAGTTTAGCTGGTGAGGCTCAGTGGGCAAAGGGGCTTGCCCAAAGTCTGATAACCTGTGCTTGATCCTGGGAGCCACAAGGCAGAAGGAAAGCGCCAGTCCCGTGAGTTTTCCTCTGATCTCCACATGGGGGCCATGGCATGCCCCCAAATTAATAAATGAATGTAATTTTTTTTAAAAAAAAACTTACAATAAATAGTTTGATTTACCTAGGTTAATTCTAAAATATGGGGAACCTGTTCGCCAAGATTTCTTTCCATTGGTAAACCCAACCTCATATTGGGCATAGATGTCATTGTATTTTGACATTAAATTTTCTGAAGATGAAAGGGAGTCGAGCACTTAAAATCATAGAAAGTAGTCAGGCATGAAGGCAGGGGCCTGTATACCCAGCACTTGGGAGGCAGAGGTGGCTAGATTTCTATGAGTTCAAGGCCAGCCTAGCCTTCACAGCAAGTCTC